AAAGGTGGAAATAGGGGTATAATATTATTGTAGATTCCACTTTATGGGCAGAACTCGAATGCTGGGGTGAGGAGTGAGGAGACCTAAACACAATTCCTGCCGCCCACACACCCCAGCTGTGTGCAAGTCAGCGTACCCTGGGCCTCAGGGGTTCCATGTGCACAATGATGGTTGGACTAGATTCATGGTCTTTAATTTTTTTCATTTAAATTTAAATTTAACTTTGAAAAATTAAAATGGTGAGGGGAACTGGTTTAATATGCAGGTTCCCAGACCCCACTCCTTCCTCCCAGAGAAGCAAGGTAAATAACTTGGTGTAGGATGGCGCCGAAGCCCTTGAGAGCCAGCCGCCTGCATTGGTCCAACCCAGTGCAAAGTCCCTGGGTTAGGCCATGGAAGAAAATAAATAGTCTAGGAGATGTTTTTATACCCTTAGTCAGAAAACCTCAGCTGGAACTCAGACACACCAAGTTCTCAAAAGATTACAGGTGCATACCAGTCACTCAGTAAATACTGTTGCTGTTAAACAATGGAATAATATCTTGAAACTCTTATTTGCTTTGTAGCCTTCTCTTCTTAGAAAAATGGCTGCTCCAGGTAAAGTCAGAGGTGAAGTAGTCAGCAGATCATATGGACAGAGAGATTTCCTTCCTTGACCAATGATCCTTAACCAAAAAGTTACACAGAGTGACCCCTGGAAGGAGAACCAGAAGGAGTCGTCACCAACTAAACGCCAATGCAGCAAACTTCACACCTGATGTCTGATGAATGCTATGTGACTACATAAAAGTCTACAACACACATAGTCATCTCCACCTGGGATCAGGGAAGTATGACCTACAGAACCACAGGATTGGTGCAAAAATCACAGGAAAAAAGGAAACTTCATCTTAAATTAGGCTAAAATTTCCCCCCCCTTTTTTAGTTACTCTGGAAGAGAGCAGTTAAGAGATAGAGTCAGACCAGACAACATAGGTTTTACTCTCAGCACCTCACCTTGCTAACTATGTAACTCTGAGGAAGTTTTCTAATTTCCCTGAGCCTCAATGTCTTCATCTATAGAATAGGGAGGTAGCAAGAGTATTTAATTCAGAGGTCACTGTGAGGATTAAGTAAGACACATGCAAAGCACTGAAAACAATGTCCAGCACACAGTAAGCGCTACATGTTGACTATTTTTCTTCCTATTGAACTGTTTAAACCCAAATGTACCATACTTACAAGTACATCTGATTTTTGGGTGATTTCATTTTAATTTTCTGTGTTTCTCAGACTTAGGAGTTAAAAATCCACCTGACTGAGGAAGTGCTAAAACTGTCCTGAGCAGTTAATTCTACCACCTAGTAAAGGTGGATGCCCAAAACCTCCTCATCTCTTCTTAAACCAGCTGAGGGCCAGATTTAAAAGGCAAAGCATTGTTTCTCCACCCAGGGGGATGACATACAGAAAAGGGCATGTGTCTATCCAATCCTGTAGCAACGCGTAGCTGGCCCTCTCATCCAGGGCTTCTTACCTGGGGCTGCATATCAGAATTCCTAAGAAGATTTTCATCCCCACTCCCACCCCCAACAGAGAACCACCACCCTGAATGATGCAGAAAACAAATCTAGAACCAAACGAGGGGATATGTTGTCTTCTCACATGCCTCACAACTGACTTAACACACCAGTGAGTCACAGCACAATGAGTCACAGCATCTCCTGGGTTACATATGTGCAAACAAATACACGAAACCCAAAAGGACACCAGGCATAAAGCAGGACTCCAAACCTGTGCCTTCCGGCAACCTCTCTGTCAGTTTGGCAAGGCACACAGACTCTCCTCAGAAGAAAGATTTGAAGACATAAAATATGAAAGATTGCAAAGGAAAACAACTGTAGCTAAAATGTGAAAACAGCCCAGGATATGAACAACAACAAAAAGTCTTGGATACAATAAAAACGTCTGGGGTACAATATTTAATATTAATACATTAAATAACAAGATCTATTAGCACATTTAATGACAAAAGTCATTTCGCAGCAGTGAAGTAAAGGCAGTAATTTAAATTATCTGCTTCCACTATGGCATGACATAAAACTATCTGTGATGTCTACAAGTGACAAAGTCACAGGTTCTGCTAATATCACTGTGCTCTGTTGTCTACATCCATAATAAAAGGAAACACTGCATTTCATTTAGAAATTAATGAAACCAAAGATGTCATGTTGTCTTTACAAGTTCATGGAACCCCTAAACTAACTCCGTAGGCCTTTGGGGGGGACTCAGGACCTCAGTGTGGAGAGCCCAGCTCTACAGGGTCCTTAAGAGTTAATGCCTACGGTTTTTCTTTTTTGAGAAACTTGCCCATGGCAGGTCTTTCTGCCATGAATCTTCATTTTTTCCTTCTCTTCTTCTCACTAAGTGTTAATGCCTGATCATTCAATTAATAGATATTTAGCAAATAGCTGCTTTGTTCTAAGTACAGGAATTAAGGAGGAAAGTACAGAATTAAAGTAAGGTTTTGATGCAACCATGCTGTAAAAACTTTCAGAATCTCTGTTTGATGTTTACCGTGGTTCTTCCAGTTCATTATGAGTTGTGTTATCTACTGCTAAATCCACTAGGTTTTTAATATATAACTTAAAAGCAAAGCAACCAAACAGCAAAAAAAAAAAAAAAAAAACCACAATCTGTATTCAAGTCTACTACTAAATAGGTTCCAGAAACTGTGGCTCAATATGGAATAAACACTGAGCCTTCCACGTGTCCATTTCTGCTATACTAAAACCAGTCCTGCCCAACTGCAGACATTTTACAGGGACAAAATGAGGCAATTAGTGTGAAAGTTCCTCTGAAAATTGTATAGTGTTACCCATGGAGGGCGTTCCAATTACACTGTAAATGTCAGTGATTAATCACAGTATATGAGTGGGACCAAGGAGCCCCTGGTGGCAGGAAAGGCCATGAGTGTCCTGTCAAACCACATGCGTGTCTCCTAAGGAAGGAGATGTGAAACAGAGAAATTTAAAAAAAAAAAAAAAATTCTGAGCCGGGCTCGGTGGCTCAGCCTGTAATCCTGCGCCTTTGGGAGGCTGAGGTGAGTGGATTGCCTGAGCCCTTGGGTTCAAGACCTGCCTGGGCAGCGAGACCTCATCTCTACAATAAATCAAAAATCAGCCGGGTGTGGTAGCGCATGCCTGTAATTTCAGCTATTTGGAAGGCTGAGGCGGAAGGATCGCTGGAGCCCAGCAGGTCGAGGTTGTGGTAGCCGTGAGTGGCCACTGCACTCCAGTCTGAGTGACAGAGTAAGACTCCAGCTAAAAA